TTTGCTCTTAAGCCTAGGCCCATGGAAGGGGCATCTGGGAACATGCCAGCCTTTCTAGGCAGGGAGGTTTTCTGAGGAGGTGACTTGAGCAAACAGAACACTGAGACCCTGGAGGGAGGCTGTTGGGTAGACGGGGTGGACTGTGCAAAGGCCCTGGGGCAGAATCAAGTTTGCTGAGGAGAGGTTGGAAAGAGGAGGTCAGGAGCAGTCCTCACATTCTCCAGCCCTAGGCCAGCCCTCACGCACTCCCGCCAGGCAGGCTCAGCTCTGTCGTGTGCAGAGTGGGGAGAATGGTCCTGACTTCCCTCAGAGGTGCTTCAGGCTAACTCCTCCCTAACCCTGGCCCTGGCAGGAAGTGACACACCTGCCCAGTGAACCTGCTTTCCTGTGGAACCTAGGCAGGGCCCTTCCTTGCATCGATTTCTTGATGATAGGGCATCTCCAGCGGGAGGAGGAAGGAAGCAGTGATCTCCCTCCTGCGGCCAGGCCTGCTCCGCAGTGAGCTTGGTGTTTCTGCGATGCCAGGCAACCTTGAGCACCTGTGGCTGGAGCCTCCTGGGGTGAGCTTCTGGCTCAATGCTCAATTAAACAGTGTTCCCAGGTCAAGGCACCCTTGTGGTCCAGGCTTTGTCGCTTTTTGCAACTCACACTTTTTTGTGTGCCCAGACTAGCATGGCCACGGGCCCTACTGAGAGGCTGGAGGTGCTGGGCAGTGTTGCCCACTGTGGAGGAAGGGACGGATGTGAGGAAACCTGGCTTGGGCTGTCTGCAGCCTGACAGATGGTGTCCTCACTCTTGAGCCGCCCACCGCCCAGTCTGAGCCCAGCCACCTCCTCCTCCTCCTCCAAACACCCCCAGGGATGCCACCTCGGCAGAAAAATGATGCAGTTCCATTAACATCTGACACGGATTTGCTGGCCCCAAACAGATGAGTGCGGTGTAAACAGCGGGCCCTGGGCCCTAGCCCGGCCTCTGCATGATCTCAGTAATTAATCGTCTGCTGTTGGCCGGGCCACACTGGGCCCCTCGACGCAGCCTGAGTAGTTTCCAAATCGGAATCTGGCTCTGCCCCTGCACGTGGTGTTTACTGAACAGCGGATGTGCTGGGGGTGGTTGAGGAAGAAGAGGGGGTGAATCCCACTTCTGGTACCTATGTCAGCGTGGGGTCCTTGTTCACCTTCCCCAAACCAGTGACCATGGACTTTAGGGCAATAGTGCTGTTCTCCCAATATGGCTGCACTCGAGCAAACCACATACAATGGGGTCTTAGTGTTAGCCCTCCGTACACACTCACCACTTTCTGGGGCTAGCCTTGACTAGAAGAGAACAGGCTGGGTGTCACACAGGAGCCAGGAGGCACATCCACTCACACTGGTTGATTTAATAAGCACACAGACCTCCCAGATATGGTTTTTCTTTTTGCCACAGAAGGACTTTTTGTTTCTTTCTTTCTGTGTTTTGCTCAATAGCAATAACCCAAATATTCTCCCTTTTATATCTGTCATAGGAAACTTTTTTCTTTTTGAGACATAGTCTCAAACCCAGGCTGGCCTCAAACTCTCTACATACCTTGATCCTCCTGTACCCATCCCGAGTTCTGGGTTTACAGGCACGCACCACCATACTAGTTTCATGTGGTACTGGGGATTGAACCCAGGGTGCTGGGTGTGATAGGCAAGCACCCACCCAACTGAGCCACATGCACATCCAGGAACTCTTGTACACTCATTCTGAGTCCCCTAGGTGGTGGGATCGGCTCCAGGGTGCAGCTGGCCCTGGCAGGAGAGTATCAGTGCTTCTGTCTTCTTTTAGCAGTTGAGAAGGCCCCCCCTCTTTTCTAGGGCCCTTCAGGATCTTTAAGCTCTGACGACTTGGGAGGTGGTCCCCTGGCCTGTGACCCGGGGATAACCACGTTCCCCTCGGGCGCCACCAGGATTACATTGATAAACTATGTGGGCTCCGTGCCAGCTCCTGGAAGGGTTGCCTGGGTCCTTATCACTGGTTAGGAAGCCATCCATTTCACCTTTTGAGTTGTAAGCCGCCTGGCTCTGCCCCCTGGACACAATGCGGTTCCTGACTGGGTGCTGGCACGCCCCACCCACGTGTGTGTCATACCAGTATCACAGGGGACCCGGGTTCCCAGTGGGTGGCCTGCTCTTGCCATGGAATTTTTACCACTGCCTGGGTGCTGGTCTGTGTCTCGCTGCCTTGTCATCCCACGCTCAACTCTGAAACACTGTCTCTTCGGGTCACCTTCCAGCTCAGCCTGTTGGCAGGATCCTGACATTCTGTCCCCACCTTCTCAAGCAGGCAAGTAGGGAATGACATTCCTGGGGTGGTCAAGCAAGCCTCTCCATGGCCCAGGTAGCCCCAGAAGACAGTCTGTGTACTTGATCCTCTACCCGATGCTCTGGGGCCACGGATGGTGGGAGACAGGACTACGGGTTTGTGGAGCTTTGAGTGATGGGGTCTCAGGAGGAAGACAGGGTAGGACAGTATGGTTTTTAGAGGAGGAACTACCTGAGTGGCTCTTACAAAGAGAGACAGCCTGACATAGGGAAGGAGGAGGTTTCAAGCAAGATGCTATGGTATATAGACAGGGAGAAGGAGGGGCACAAGGGACAGGGGACAGGTATGTCAGCCAGCATGACGAACAGCCTGGGGCAGGGGGGAGTAGGCTGTGCTTGAGCTGGGCCAGCAAGATTAAGACAGACAGCATCCGGGTGGCCCTGCCAGGGCCTGGGGTTATCACTGCTTCCTCCTGTGAGGGCCTGGTGATTCATGGGCTTTGGGCACTCGACAGGTGGTCAGGGGCCTGGCTGGGAGGCAGCTCAAGCTGCTTGCACCTTTGGGGGAAAGGAGGAGGGGCAAACTGAGGCCTCCCAGAAGCCTGGAAGGCAGAGGCTAGTCTGGAAGTGCCAGAAGACTGTGCCACATTGGCAGTCTGTCTCCATTTTACACTCAGGCAAAGGGCTCACCCATGACCTCCTGAACACTCCGATTCACCGTAAACTTGGCTGGATGGAAGTCTCCTCTCTCAGTAGCCCAGAGCGAGACCAGTGCCACAGGAGCTCTGGTTCTGTCAGCGGCGGGCCCTGTATGACCCCTTTGTTCGTACAGGGGCCGACGGCATGAGTCTACCCGTGGTCTATCCCACGGAAAAGCAACCATGTCTGGGGCCCGTGGGAGAGTCACGTCTCCTCCGCATGGGGAGGTCAGGGGCAGCCAGGGGCTGGGAGCAGTCAGGCGAGGCTAGCTCTTGAGGGAGACATGCCTACTGAGAGCAGAAGTGAGAACCGATACCAGGGGCTGAGCATCAGGAAGGAGAGGCGTGCAGAAGCTGGGGCAAGGCTGCTCCATGGAGACTGACAGGATGGATCTGGATCTGAGAAGGTCTAGCAACCCGGGACATAGAAAAGAGGCTGAGCTAAGAGCAGCAGGCAGCTTGGAAAGGGAACTCCACCCTTCACAGCAGGGGCCTTCAGTCCAGGTCCAAGGGTGGAGATTAAACCAGTGTAGTCAGTACCACAGAGGTAGCCAACAGGACTGCCCGAAGAAGCTGAAATTTAAATGAATTTTAATTACTTTGCTTTAAACAGTACAATAAAATTCAGTGAAATAGAAGATTAAAAAAAAAAACAATAGGGAAAAAAATCTGTGAAACCAAAAATTGATATTTTAAGATCAATAACTATCAGTATTCCACTCCCTAGAAAAGACAAAGACAAAACGAAACAAAAACAAACCTGAGAGAATGCACACGATAAATGCCACAAACAGGAGGTTGGCTGTGAGGGTTGTCGATTCTGCACGTTTAAAAAGAGCAGCAGGGCTGGAAGGATGGCTCAGTGGTTACAAGCGCTTACTGCTCTCACAGAGGACTAAAGTTCATTTGCCAGCACCCACACCAGGTGGCTCACAAACTGCCTGCTACTCAAAAACAGCAACATGTTCAGGGCTGGGGCTGGTTTAGCAGCTAGGAGCAGTTGCAGTGCAAGCATGAAGACCCAAGTTCAAATCCCCACACTCACATAAAAATCTGGGTGTAGCCACTCATGGTTGTAACTCCAGGGCTGTGGGGAGCAGAGACACGAGGATTTGCTGGATGCCAGCTTAGCTCTAGGCGTAGTGAGAGACCTCGTGTCAAGAGCTAGAATAGACAGTGACAGAGCAGGATCCAGGTACCTTCCTCTGGCCTATACGCCACACACGTGCTTGCTCACAGACACATGAACAGTTTCTTTTAAAGCTTAAAAAACAAAAAACAGCAATAGTGGAATATTATGGTCAACTGAGCTTGACCATTTGTCAACTTAGACGACTGGTAAGTTCCTTGAAAAATGCAAATGATAAAAAAGATACAACAAAACAAAACAAAACAAAACCCCAGAAAAGTCAGTCAGCTCTCTGCACAAGTCTGAACTTGTAATTGAGAGGTTGTCTAACAGAGAAAGGTCTAGGCTCAGATGACGTCACTGGTGAACTCCAGCAAACATTTCATGATGACATATTGTGCAATCTTCTTCTGAAAATAGAGCATGAAGAAAGGCTTCTCACGGCATTTCACATGTCTAGAGTCATTCCAGTCTCAAAAGTAGAATTAGGCTGGCAAGATGTCTCATTAGGAGAAAGGGCGTTTGCTGCCAAGCCGAGAGAGTTAGGTTGACCTGACCTCCACACATGTGTCAGGGCACTTGTATTTCCCTCCTCAAAAAAGAAATTGAATGTGAAAAAAGAAAAAAACCACTCTTTGTGTGTACAGACAGACTCTCATGAAATATTAGAAAATAAAATCCAGCAGTGTGTACATTATATTTCAGAAAAGCTCATCTCTAGAAGGTGAAGTCAATTCAGTTCTCCCTTTATGTTGGGAGAATAAAGAGGAAAAAGATAGGAACAGGAAGTGCTTGAAAAATTAAATATCCATGCAGCATAATGGTTTCTCAGCACATAAGAACAGAAAGGGGATACCCTTGTCTTCATTGAGGGCATCTGATACACTGCTTCAGGGTAAGGAAGCTAAGTCTTTCCTCCTAAAAACAAAATTGAGGTAAGGATGTTCACTCTCAGCATTTTTATGCAGTGTTGTGTACTTTAACAGTGCAATAGGACAAGAAAACCAAACCAAAGGAATACAGATTACATGGCATACACGGAAGGGGTTATCATGTTAATTTTTTTTTTCAAAAGATCTTCTGGAACAACTCTGAGCAAAAAACAGAGCATAAATCAGCTGTGTGTGCAGGCGTGCCTGTGTGTGCATGGTTGTGCTCTCATGAAAGTGTTTGCTAACATGGAAGAGATGGCAAAGGCCAGCATGTTGAGGTCACACTAAACAAATTGACTGTATATCTACATGAGAGCAGCAAGCGGCAGGACACTGAAATGACGCAAATATGTCCACAAACACGGTTAAGAATACAAAACATGCTTATGGATCAAGCCAACACGAATATTTGCAAACTTACACGTTAAAACTACCAAAAGCAATGAGAGAAATTATGAAAGATTTAAAATAAATGTAGAGATAAGTCACACGTGTTGATTGGAAGAGCCAGTGCTTTTAAGATGTTTACTTTCACCCTAAACCAATCTATACATTTATTGTAGTTCATTGGCGTGGAAACGCAAAGGACCCAGAACAGTCAAAAGAGGTTTTGAAAAGAGCAAAACAGAAGGACTGACTCCACAGCGGCTGATTTCAGGACTGATATGATGGCTTTAAGGCCACGTGAACTAAGTGGCCAGAACAAAAAAGTAGCTCTAGAGAAACAGAATTGAGGAGGATTACCTAGAAACTAACCTACATGGCTTTTCAACAGAGTGCTCTGAAAATGTGATAGGAAGAAGAAGAGGTCCTTTACAAGCAAGGTATCTGGCTGGGGGAAAATTAACTTTGACTCTTCAGTTTTTTTTTTAACATTTGTTATTTAAGTGTGTGAGTGTTTGCCTGCATGTATGTATGTATGTATGTGCGTGTGTATGTATGTGCTATGTATGTATGTATGTGCAGCATGTGTGCGTTTGTTACCTAAGGACATCAGAAGAGGGTGCTGGATTCCTTGGATCTGAGGTTAGTGGCTATGAGCTGCCATGTGGGTGCCGGGAACTGAACCTGGGTCTTCCAAATCAGCAGCCATTACTCTTAACTGCTGAGCCATCTCTCCAGGCCCTAACTTTGATCTTAACTCATACCACCTTCAAGAATTAAGGCCAATGACACCAGGAAACTAAATGAAACTTACAAAGAATGTACTTTCTCAAAGACACAGTGAAAGTCTCCATTTGTGGGTTAAGTTTTAAGCCACACCAAACAAAAACAAAACAGAAATTAAAAACTGGCAAACTGGGCTTCACCAAAGTGCATAGAAAACACCTTTGACAAACCATAATGTTAAAGTCTCAAAACAAATCCACAAAAGACTGAGGAGACCAGGAGAGTCCCATTCGGAATAACCTAAAGAAATCAACCAGGGACAGCTGAGGAAGCTCTGAAGCGCTAAGCATAAAGATCATCTCGAAAACATCAGATTTCAATTGGCTGTTACCAGCAAGAAAGGGCGAGTTCTAGTGACAGCAGACTCCGATTGGAAACTGCAGCATTCAGGTGGACATGGTCCAACCATTTCAAGTCGTGAAAAAAAAAAAAAATCACTGGCTGTGTGCAGTGAAACCGTATGTTAGGACTGGAATGAAAATGAGGATGCACTCTGCAGACGGACACAATGACAAGCACCAGTCCACGGGAACACAACACCACAAACCTAAGGGTCTCTGTGCTAAACAACATAGCTTCAAGGTGTGCAAAGCAAACTCTGATAAAGCAGAAAGTACAGACACATTCTCAAGTGTTTGGGGCCTTGACCCTTGACTCCCAGTGACTGACGGAACACAGACCACCCCATCAAATAACCATAGAATGTACTTTTTCTTTCTCTAAACAGCCATGTAACATTAAACAAGATTGACTACATTGTGGGTCATAAAATACACCTTAACAAAGTACAATTGAAACCATTCATAGAGTGTTCTCTGATTAAATTGATTCAATTTAGAAATCATAAGGCAAAATCAAAAGAAATTTTCCAAATGTATGGAAATAACACTTTTGCAAAAGGAAACACACTCACAATGAAAAGTCGACAATAGCAGGGCGTGGAGGTGCACACCTTTGATCCTGGTGACAGGGAGGCCGAGGAAGACAGATCTCTGTGGGTTCAAGCCAGCCTGCTCTGCATAGAGAGTTCCAGGACAGCCAGGACTACATACTGAGACCTGTCTTTAAAAAGCAAAATAAATAAATGAATAAAAATTAAACATTTCATAATAAATGAAAATAAGTAACAATAAAAAAGCACACTAAAACATTTGAGATTTAGTTAAAAACACGCTAAGGGAATGTTTTTCAGTTTTAAAAATTTTATATTTGGTAAAAATGCATTCATTGGACATATTAACAGGATCTAATGTGATATCTTTTTCTCTTTTTTAAGATTTATTTATTATTTATACAACATTCTGCCTGCACACCAGATCTTACTATAGATGGAGATGAGCCACCCTGTGGTTGCTGAGAATTGAACTCAGGACCTTTGGAAGAACAGTTAGTGTTCTTAACCTCTGAGCCATCTCTCCAGTCCCGTGTTTTTTTAAATTTTTATTAATTACACTTTATTCACCTTGTATCCCTCCATAGCCCCCTCCTTCCTCCCCTCCCAGTCCTCCCCTTCCTCCCCCTTCTCCATGCATGCCCCTCCCCAAGTCCACTGATAGAGGAGGTCTTCCTCTCCTTCCTTCTGATCCTATTCTATCAGGTTTCATTAGGAGTGGCTGCATTGTTTTCCTCTGTGGACTGGTAAGGCTGCTTCCCTCTCAGAGGAAGGTGATCAGAGAGCAGGCCAATCAGTTCATGTCAGAGACAGTCACTGTCCCCATTACTATGGAACCCACTTGGACACTGAACTGTCATGAGCTATGTCTGTGCAGGGGTTCTAGGTTATCTCCATCAATGGTCCTGGGTTGGAGTATCAGTCTAAGAAAAGACCCCTGGGTCCAGATTTTTTTGGTTCTGTTGCTCTCCTTGTGGAGCTCCTGTACTCTCTAGGTCTTGCTATTTCCCACTTCTTTCATAAGATTCCCTGCACTCTGCCCAAAGGTTGGCCATAAATCTCAGCATCTGCTTTGATACCCTGCAGGGTAGAGCCTTTCAGAGGCCCTCTGTGGCAGGCTCCTGTCCTGTTCCCTGTTTTCTCCTTCTTCAGATGTCCATCCTCTTTGCCTTTCTGAATGGGGATTGAACATTTTAGCCAGAGTCCTCCTTCTTGCTTAGCATCTTTAGGTGTACAGATTTTAGTAGGTTTATCCCATATTATATGTCTAAAATCCACTTATGAGTGAGTATATACCCTGTGTGTCTTTCTGCTCCCGGGGTACCTCACTCAGGATGATCTTTTCCAGTTCCCACCATTTACCTGCAAATTACATGATTTCTTTGTTTTTTATTGCTGTGTAATATTCCATTGTGTAGATGTACCACAATTTCTGTATCCATTCCTCAGTTGAGGGGCATCTGGGTTGTATCCAGCTTCTGGCTATTAAAAATAAAGCTGCTACAAACATGGTTGAGCAAATGTCCTTATTGTGTACTTGAGCCTCTTTTGAATATATGCCTAGGAGTGGGATAGCTGAATCTTGAGGAAATGCTATTCCTAATTGTCTGAGAAAGTGCCAGATTGATTTCCAGAGTGGTGTGCCAGTTTACATTCCCACCAGCAGTGGAGGAGGGTTTCCCTTTCTCCACATCCTCTCCAGCATGTGTTGTCACTTGAGTTTTTGATCTTAGCTATTCTGATGGGTGTAAGGTGAAATATTAGGGTCTTTTTGGTTTGCATTTACCTGATGACTGAGGATGTTGAGCATTTTTTTAAGTGTTTCTCTGCCATTTGATATTCCCCTATTGAGAATTCTCTGTTTAGCTCTGTACCCCATTTATTAATTGGATTACTTGATTTGTCGCTGTTTAACTTCTTGAGTTCTTTATATATACTGGATATTAGCTCTCTGTCAGATATAGGGTTGGTGAAGATCCTTTCCCAATCTGTAGGCAGTCATTTTGTTCTGACAACAGTGTTCTTTCCTTTACAGAAGCTTTTCAGTTTCATGATGTCCCATTTATTGCTCTTAGAGCCTGTGCTTTTGTTGTTCTGTTCAGGAAGTTGTCTCCTGTGCCAATGAGTTCAAGGCTCTTCCCCACTTTTTCTTCTAACAGGCTTAGGTTTTATATTGATCCATTTGGACTTTAGTTTTGTGCGGGGTGGTAAGTATGGATCTATTTGCATTTTTCTACATGTAGACATCCAGTTAGACCAGCACCATTTGTTGAAGATGCTGTCTTTTCCCCATTGAATGGTTTTGGCATCTTTGTAAAAAATCAGGTGTCCATAAGTGTGTAGATTTATTTCAGGGTCTTCTATTCGATTCCATTGATCTACCAGTCGGGTTCTATGCCAGTACCATGTAGTTTTTTATTACTGTTGCTCTATAATATAGCTTGAGACCAGGGATGGAGATACCTCCAGAAGATCTTTTATTGTAGAGGATTATTTTAGCAATTCTGGATTTCTTGTTATTCCATATGAAGTTGAGAATTTTTCTTTCAAGGTCTGTAAAGAATTGTGTTGGTATTTTGATGGGAATTGCATTGAATCTGTAGATTGCTTTTGGTAAGATGGCCATTTTTACTATGTTAATCCTGTCAAGCCATGAGCATGGGAGATCTTTCCATCTTCTGATATCTTCTTCTAATTCTTTCTTCAGAGACTGGGAATTTTTTGCATGCATGTCTTTGACTTGCTTGGTTAGGGTCACACCAAGGTACTTTATGTCCTTTGTGGCTATTGTGAAGGGTGTTGTTTCCCTAATTTCTTTCTCAGCCCTTTTGTCTTTTGTGTACAGGAGGACTATTGATTTTTTTGAGTTAATTTTATATCCAGCCACTTTGCTGAAGGTGTTTATCATCTGTAGGGGTTCCCTGGTAGAAATTTTGGGGTCACTCAGGTATACTATCATGTCATCTGCAAATAAAACTTAAATCACACATAGATCTCCACTCATTAATAGTGGGAGACTTCAGCGGAGGGAATTTATAGCATTCACCACTTGTCTCGATCCTTTTCGATGGCGGCAGAACTGAAACCTGGAGCCTTGCACACTATAATCAGTCACTGGATTACTCGCCTGCATCTGACTATATGAGCTCATGATGGAGAGAACGCTTGTCCCATTCCATCCCAATCTGTTTGCACTGGAAAAATTCCAGCAAACAATTAACAAGGAATTAGCATTACTGTTTAAAAGCCAGTCGACACAATCCATTGTTTTGATCTGTCAATAGAGAAAAGTTCTATGAGGTTACCAACTGGTGATAAAAAGGCTTTTGATGACATCCAATTACCACTCATGGAAAGAAAACCACAAATTAGGAGCAGAGAGAATGCCTTCAGTTGGCTAAAGGCTATATGCAGAAAGCCTACAGTTCATGCATGTTTGATGGTGAAAGACTGGACCCTTTGACACACACGGATTACAAAGGAAGAAATAAAAACTGTCCCTGTTTACAGACTAAATAAATGCATAGAAAACTTAGAGGTAACTGAAGGAAACAAATCTCAACACAAAGCTGAAGACTAAAAGATCAACACAAAAAAGTTGATTTTTTTTTTTTTTGGCCTATACCAACAATGAACACTTGATGATCGCACTGTTCACATCCCAGAGCAAAGGAAGCAGGAATTTGAGGGTCCCAGTGTAAGAAGAAGATGGGTGGGGGCTCTGAAGAGGCAGCAGTCACAGAAAGTTGATGAAATAAACCAGAGACGACTGGAATAAATGGAGAGGCATCCCACGTTCATGGAGTGACAGTCCCTTGGGGCAGAGGGAGAGCAACTTGATCTATAGGCTTAACGTAATTGCTACTAAAATTTCAAGATTTTTGATAGACGTGGTTAGCACCTTTGTAAAATTTATAAACAAAAGCAGAGGACATTGAGCCTTATGAGTGGAACTGTGTCATCCCAAAGCCCTATGATGGTTTCTTAACCTTTGGTGCCTCAGAAAGTGGTCATATTTAGAGAAAGACTTTGAGAGGGAGGAACTTAAAATGAGGTTATTAGGGTAGGTTCTAGCACATCCCACTGACGCCATTCTGTAAAGGGAACCTCGGAGACACACACACACAAAATGCCACATGAGCATGGAAAAGGCCACCTGCACCTGCCTTGGGGAGGGGCCTGGAGCAATCCTTCCCTCACCGCCATGAGAAGGAGCCAGCCCTTCCAGAAGGAAACGTGACTTTGAACATTAAGCCTCCTGTGTTGGGGGGCTGGGCCCCACCAGTGCCAGCAAAGAATCTAAGTAGCCAAAGCGATTTTGGACAAGAAGGAAAAAGCGAGAGGAGTTGCCTGTGCAGTGGAATTTTTGTCCAGGGGTTGTGATGTGTGATCAGTGGAACAGAAGAGGGGCCCCAGAACAAGACTCACATGAGCACATGAGACTGGCTTTGGGCAGAAATGGAAAAATAAAATAAAAACTCCACGGAGGAAGGATAGATTTTTCAACAAAAGGTGGTGCTCATCCTTGAAACAGAGAGCCTAAATAATTCTTCTATCTTAAGAAAAGAGTCAATTTTTAAAAATCCACGTATGTGTTTATGTGTGCACACGGGCTTGTACGCTTAGGTGTCTGAGAAGCCAGACGGGGGTGTGGGATCCGCTGGAGCTGGAGTTACAGGAAGTTGTGAGCCACACAGCGTAGGTGCTGGGAATGGAATCCGGGTTCTCTGCAGGAGCACAAAGTATTCCTAACCACTGAGCCATCTCTCCAGACCCCTGACTTCACAACTCATTAAAAATTAAGTCAAGGGGAACTAAGAGGAGAGGCAAGAAGGAAAACTGTGGTCAGGGTCTAACATATGAGGGGAAAATAAAGAAAAATTAAAAAATTAAGTCTCCCTTGGTGAGGTGGGTCAGGCCTGACCATCTGAATATGATTTCTGGAACCTACATGGGAGAAGGAGAGAACTGACTCCTTCCTGCAAACTGTTCTCTGACCTCCACATGTGCCATGGGGTGCAAGCACATGCACGCTCACAAATAAATAAATAGTAAAAAAAAATTAACTCAAAACAGACCACAGGTTTAAATGAGTGTAAAGTATAAAGCCGCTCAGCGTCTATGTCTAGCAAGTCCAAGGTCTTGGGTTTAGTTCCCAGTTCAACCAAAACAAACACTCTTACATGACTTAGGGGAAAAACAAAACAAAACAAAACACAAAAAACGGTGTAAAAGTCTCCAGTTTTCAGACTCCTCACAGGGTCCTTAGACTCAACACCAAAACAATCCACAAAAGAAAAACTGATGAGAATGAAGTGTCTTTACTCCTCCAGGAAGGACACTGTTAAAAGGCTGGAGGGCCAAGTGACAGCACGCAGGCGCAGAGCTCCCCGTGAAAACCATCCGTGCTGTCGGGACGCTGGTGCTCGGCACAAGTGGACTTCTGTCGGACGTGGAAGCCAGGGCGGGCACCCTAACCGCTCAGCCACACTCCCAGTCCCGTGAGGCATCTTCCTGCAGACGGTAAATGCTTATGGAATGAGCGGCCCAGCAGCACAGGCTGTCAGGGACGCAGGTGTGGCAGCCAGTCTGAAAAGCAGGGTGCGCTCAGGGCTGGAAGGACCTGGGGACTGCACCCTCAGGGCCCTCCTGCTGGGTGGGGGAGGGGTGGTGGAAACCGATGTGACCGCTCCAGGGAGCACCCTCAGTGCTCTACAGCAGAAGAGTGGAGTTGTGAGAAGACACACGAGTTGCATTCTGGGACACCGACTAGAGAAACGGCCGTTACTGTCATTTGGAGTATTTGTATGAGTTTTCTATGTAACCAAGTCTGGAAACAGCCCAGACTTTGAAAAACCCCTCGACAACCCTCAAGGATGAGCAATGCATGCTGGGATCTCCAGCTGGGACAGTCTGGGCTGGAGGCGTGAGGTGATGGCTCAGTGTGGTAGGAGTGCTAGGTGCTCGAGCATGGGATCTTGAGGGCCTGAACCCCCAGCACTCATGTAAATAGTCAAGCATGCCTGTAACCTCAGCGTAGAGACAGGAAGATCCTTGGGGCTCCAGGGTCTCCCAGTGAGAAGCTCAGTGTTAAGGAAAGTGATGTCCTGCTCTGGCCTCTGCATGTGCACGCTTGAAAAAACACACACACATACACACACCAGAGAGAGAGGGGGAGAGGGGGTGGGGCAGGGGAGGGAGGGCGTGAACACCTGGTTTACTGGTTTTCTGTGCTGGCTTGAACCCAGGACCTTGCCCACCTGAGGAAGTCCTCCGCTCCTGAGCTTGCTCCTCCCCCCTTGTGCTTTTAATTTCGAGACAGGTCTTACTAAGTCGAGCAGGCTGGCCTTTCTCCTGTTCTGCAGCCCAGGTACTCTTTGAACTTGCAATCCTCCTGCCTCAGCTTGCTAAGCAGTTGGGACTGCAGGCCTGAACTACCTGGCCAGGCCCGGAGTTAGTACTGACTGATGTCCGAGAAGTATGTGTGACTCAGGGGATCTATTTTGAGCTATAAAAGCCAGTTTCAACAGGATCTGTCTGGCATGATTCTTTTTCTAGGACATTCATTAAATAACATAATTATAGAGGCTGCTGGGGGTCAGAAATGGACTTAGACAAGGCTGTGATGGGACAGTCCTTACAGGACAGTATGGGGGAGCTGATTCTGGGTACACTCGCCTGAAGCGAGGCAGGATAAAACGGCAGGGCCCCTGAGTGTGCACACGCAAACACACAGATGCACACTCACGCTTAACTCTGACTGATGCCATCGTCCTCACTTTATCGCCCTGCTCTTGTTCTGTGGCCCATTCCCATTGGGCAAAGGAAGTGTGTGGAGGATTTCCTCTGCACACCTTTCTGAAAATCGTTTACAGAAGTTATTCAAATAAAAAAATATATAAAAAGCCACATTGTAGAACAAAATCATTTAACTGGGATGTACAGACCCAAAACGGACAACAAACTCCTACAGATTAACAGTAAGACAAAAGATACAGAAATGGAAGATGCTTTAATAAAACATGCATCCCTCAGGGATACGCAAACAAAAGCTCTTCTAAGGTTCTACCCGTGAGGCGTGCATTAGAAAGATGACCGTGGAAATGACCCTCAGGCAGTTCCAGTGGGACAGGGGGCAGGCCTGTGTGTAAGTGTTCAGGTGGGACAAGATGCAGGCCCACTTCGTGTAAGAGACACTGCGCTGGTTAAGTTAAACTCACTGTAACCAAGATTGGGGGGTGGGTGGGAGTGGGGGTATTTTTCCCAGAGAAGTGAATACTAGAGCCCGGAGTAGCTGGGTTTATGAGTTAGGTGGAGAAACCCAAACGCCTAGGGATAGGTGAGCAGGTGAGAAAATCGCTCTGTTAGCAGCTGAGACTGCCTGGTTCCCAAAGGCTGAATGGCCGAGGAGTCAGAGGAGCCAGACATAGTAACAGCTGTGTGGGCTTGAGCAGGTAACAGGGCCCCAGAGCAACAGAGAGGTGAGCAGGGTAGCACAGCCTCCCGGGAACATCCTGGGGAGATAAAGGGCTCCCCACCTTCCCAGGGGTGGTGGCCCCAACCACCATACCTGTTCAGAGTGAATTCATGACACTTAATCCACACCTTAGTCGTGTTTTGACAGTGCTGGGGATGGAACCCAAGTTTGCCTGCTAAACCTGTGAGCTCTAGCAACGACCTTGGTTTTAACATTCTCCCCGTCCCCTTTTCTGAGGCTGAAGCACATATTGGAAGGACCTGCAACAGGGAAGAAACATGGTCCCTGCCAGTCCAAGCCTGACCCAAAGGCCTTTCCTGTCCTGTCTCCTGTGGGCAGACTGTATAAAACTCTTCGCTCTCTGGTCCACCTACCAGCATCTTCCTGAGGCTTGGTCTTCAAGGCCCTCCCTTCCATCTTGCTTCAGCTGATTTCTGTGGCAAGATTGCCTTCTCCAAGAAGCCTTTTGGGATGCTCCAGGCTGAGCCCGTGGTTTTTCAGCGTTGACCTGTTGTTTGATTTTCCTAGAAAGCCATGCTCTGTTTCCCCAGTCCACTGGGGTTTACTCCGAGACAGGGACCTCCACTCCAGCTCCCCTGCCCTGCTGCGCAGGCCGTGGTGCTGGGCAGGACGTCTGCATCCAATCTCAGAGGCCTACCTGTGTTTGGAAATCCAAGCCTGACAGGTGGGGCGGGCCCTGCCGTTGGGGAGGGTTCTGAGCTGATTCGTTAAAAGGTTTTATGAAAGCATGCTAAATAGACCGTGCAATTGCGAGAATAAGTTCTTCCCTGGTGGAAATTACTCAGCCATTTGGTTCTTATTTTGGCGAACTCGGCTCGGCCCTTTTGAACGCACTTGATACGCCTCGGCTGCCAGAGCAACAGGAAGATATGCTTTGAATTCCCTGTAAACCCCGTGTAAACACCAGGCTTACGGGGTAATTGCAACAGAACCCGGCTCCGCCCCTCAGCCTCTGCGTGCCACCCCTCCCAACTACTGCCTAGGCCTGCAGCCCACGGCTCCGCCCCTGGCTTCAAGGTCTAACACTTGCCAGGTCGGCCTGTACCCAGGCAGAGGCTGGGCTTCCAGACAGGCTTGCTCTTGCAGCAGCGAGCTAGGAGCTCCTAGCCTCGGTCCAGCCCACAGTCACAAGCGCTCGGCCTCCTGCCCTGACTCCAGCAGAGAGGAGCCCTCTGCCCTGCCCACTTCCCTGTGCTATATCACACCCTGGTGGACACCGAGGACTTCTGGTGGGTCTGACTTTCGATGCCATGGAGTCTGAAGGTGGGCTTCTTGCTTCCTAGCTTCTGGAATCCTGTCGGGCTTAACTGGACCAACCCTCAGGGCCAACCCGCAGGGCGGCCCAGACCTTGGGGCTGAGCAGAGTTGGCCCCAGCAGCAGACTGAGGACTGGAGCTTGGGTTCCCAACACCCACATAAAATGCCGGGTGGCAGTCGGCCTGCAAGCCCAGGACGCAGGAGGAAGGGACGAGAGATCCCTACAGCAACCCGACTAGCTAGGTTAGGCGAATTCTCAAGTTGGGTTACGTGAGAGACTCAGTCTTGATCTGTAAGGTAGAGGGCAATCAAGTAGGACACCCGATGACAACCTCGGACACACGTGAACACACACATGCACCGCCATATATACTCAGAGTGACAGAGAGACATAGAGAAGAGTGGGTCATCCCAGAACAACCCCCTTTCAGACAGCATGGAGTCTCAAGCCCCCACCCCCAGTCCTCAGCTCACTGGCTTTTCTCCCTCCTGTCATCTGAGGCTCTACTGTCC